AGGTCATTCAAAATTCACAAATAATGTCACCAACTAACAGATTTTGTAAAACCCTACTATGTTTGTTTCAAACATTTTTCAAAAAAATCAATACCTTCCGAGATTTGACTATTCGGCAGTCCGAATTTTTCATGTTTGACTGGTTATAACTCGATAACTGTCCATTATTGAGCTTTGTGCCCATTACATCTTTTGTTCAGTAGGTCATAAGCTACAACATATGTAAAAACCAATTGATTTGACCGGGACAGATTTTTCATATGATTAGTGCGGGGTTCTTTATTACCAAATCGAAAAACTGTGTAAATCAATAATAGCATATGAGGAATATTTTAAAAGTAATACGCCGCACGGTTGTAAACGAATAATTAAATACGTTAAAAGTATTTATATTATACACATTTTTTACTAATTTTCTCATAATTTTTAAAATTATCATAATATTATTGTAATCTAAGATCACTCTTCAACATGGCCGTTATAATACAACATTACTATTTAATTGATACGTTTATAACAAATGTCTAAATTTGATTAATAAATACATTAAAAAGTTCGCGTAGTATTTTGATAGCAACACTTATGAAAAGTCTCATTTTTTGTTTTTTTGTTTTTTTGTTTTTTTTGTTTTTTTTTTGTTTACAAATAAACATCATGTATTTTTAAAATATCTCTTGTACGATAATTACGGTAAATACGATAATCGAACAATCTACATACTAAAATCACTGAAAGTTAATTTCTTAATACAATGATCAAAACTGGTAGATGTGACATCATAACACAGATCTGAAAATAAAAATCATAAATATATTAGGTGTACAACTTTGCTTCCGCCGTTTTCCTATAGATGGTTTTAGCGGTACGTAGTGGTCGAAATAAATAGATCATAGACGTCATGCAATAAACTTGGGCATCTGTCAACATAACCCCAAAGAAACATTAGTCGATTTGTGTCTGCATCATAAAGTTATTCTCGATTGAAAATGTCAGTTTACGAGCCAAATTCTCGTCATTTGCGGGAGGTTTTAATTTTCTGCTTCAATATGAAGAAACCTGCGGCTGAGGCTCATCGAATGTTCTCAAATACTTATGGTGAGGCCGCTATTAGTAAAAGAACGTGTCGTGAGTGGTTTCAACCCTTCAAGAACGGTGATTTTCACGTCGAAGACCGGCATAGCGGTGGAAGAGAGAAGGTTTTCGAAGATGCAGAATTGGAGGCATTACTTAATGAAGACTCGAGTCAAAGTCAAGAAGAATTGGCACGATCATCGAAAATTTTCATAACACATCAAAGAAATTGAGGAGGGATTTCTGCATTGCATTGTGACTGGGGACGAAAAATGGTAATTCATTACGATAACCCCAAGCGCAGGAAGTCATGGGGATATCCCGGCCATGCTTCCACGTCGACGGCCAAACCGAATATTCACGGCTCCAAGGTCATGCTCTGTATTTGGTTGGACCAGCTCGGCGTAGTGTATTATGAGCTGTTAAAACCGACTGAAACAATCACAGGCGATCGTTATCGAACGCAATTAATGTGTTTGAGCCGAGCATTAAAAGACAAACGGCCGCAATACAACGAGAGACACGATAAAGTGATTTTGCATGACAATGCTCGACCCCATGTTGCGAAAGTGGTCAAGACATACTTGGAAACATTGAAATAGGAAGTCCTACCCAACCCGCCGTATTCTCCAAATGTTGCTCCCTCTGACTATCACTTGTTTCGATCAATGGCACACGGCCTGGTTGACCAGCACTTCCGGTCTTATGAAGAAGTAAGAAATTGGATCGATTCGTGGATCGCTTCAAAAGATGACCAGTTTTCTCAACGCGGGGTTCGTACGCTGCCCGAAAGATGGGAGAAAGTAGTGGCCAGCGATGGACAATACTTTGAATCATAAATGTGTTCAATTTTAATTGATATAATTGACTTCTTGAGAATCGCAATTAATATATATGTTCGAAAAATATATAATTCCATTTTAAAAAATAGTTGACCTTCGTTGACTTTTTCATTCGAAAATCAAATACATATATCACAATCTCTTAAACTCTTTGAAACCATAAAAATATTGTTTAAAACATTTTTCGATATCCTAAAGAATTTTTGAGTTATTCAAAATTAGAAACTCTATGTATTGTAATAGTTATACAAACTACTAAATATTAAATACCACATGCAAATTTCAATAAAAGATCTGTTTCGTATAAAAGATAAGAGAGAAAACAGAGACGAAAGTATTGGCTAATGTTAAAAAAATTACCTAAGGCCATTAAAATTTCAGAATTTTCCAGCGATTTATAGCCTTTGTTTTGCGTATCAGCCTCTCCAATGTTTCCATTTTTATCGATAACATTTATCAATGTATTAATATCTAATATAAAAGCAAGAAACAGAACTAAATTATTATCAAATATTTATAATAAAATAATAGTCATGAAATTTAAGTTTTTCAATATTAAGGAAACTCACCTAATAGTATTTCAGCGTCATCATTTCCAAAAGATTCACAGCCTTTTCTTTGAATATCAATCTCTTCATTGTATATATTTTCATCAACAGAGTTTATCCTTGTATTAATATCTAATATAAAAGTAAAAAGCAAAACTACATTATTATCAAATATTTATGATAAAATAGCAGTCATCAAATTTGCCAATATTAAAGAAACTCACCTAATAGTATTTGAGCATCATCGTTTCCAAAAGATACACAGCCTTTTTTTTCTGCGACAGTCTCTTCGTTGTACATATTTTCATTGACAAATCTTACCCTCTTATTAATATCTAATATAAAAGTACAAAGCAAAACTACATTATTATCAAAAACTTATGATAAAATAGCAATCATGAAATTTGCCAAATTAGGGAAACTCACCTAATGGTATTTGAGCGTCATCGTTTCCTAAAGATTCACAGCTTTTTATTTGTGCGGCAGTCTCTTTGTTGTATGTATTTTCATCATCAGATCTTGTAACGCGGTCACCTCGCTCGACGCTCGGATCGGCTCGTCGGTGTCCGGGGTCGCGTGGGGGGGAGATTCAAACTTGCGTAGACACAGTATAGGTAGAAAAGATAGTTTATTGAAAGCGAAATGTATACAGAGTAGCGTGTAGGGCCGTGCGGTGTTAGGCGTGCGCTTGGCGGCAAACGGGCGCTAGGACGCGAGCGCAGCGGGAAGTGCAAGCGCGAAGCGGTCGGCGTGAAGCGGCGTGCAGCGCAAAGCGGATTCGACTTACTATGACTTTATTTACATGCGCGTTAGCTTAGTATCTATGGTGACGTTATTTGCACGCGGGTTACTCGCGACGCGGTTATCCCGGTCGGGCTTATTCCTAGCGTTTTATAATTACCGCGCGATTTGCAGGCGCGGACTTATAATTAACCGGACTTATTATTATACTAGCAGGCTTATAATTACGGCGCGGTTTGCAAGCGCGGACTTACAATTAACCGGACTTATTACTAGCAGGTTTATAATTACGGCGCGGTATCTACATGCACTTATGACTAGGGTTAGGCTAGGCGGGTTTAGGTGGGTGCTCCGGAGAGTCCCATCGTGGTTAAATCGGAGGACCCACTGGCCTTTCGGAGTCCACTTTCGGAATTGGCGGTCGACATGACGGGCGTAGTGTGGTACCCGGATGGCTCTTCCGGGTGCAACGCGGACCGTGGTTGGCTCCGGAATCCGGGTGCCCACGGCTTCCACGGGACGTTGTGGAGCGGTGGCCGTTGGTCGTTGTGCCGGTGGTGCGGTGACGGCGCAGCGAGCCGTCGCCGGCGTCGGTCGGGGCCTGGTTGTTCTGACGGCTGGTCGGCACGGGGCCGGTGCGGGACGTCGGTCTGGTGGAGCCGGTGGTCGGACCGGTGCCTGTCGTTGCGGGACCGCTGCTGGTCGTGGCGGCGCTTGAGTGGCGGTCGGGCTGGCGGCCGGTCGGGGCCGGACATCTCGCGGCGCTGCGGCCGGCCTCGTCGTCGGGCGTGTGGTCCTTGGGACCGATGTCCGCCTGTTGCCTATCCGGCGGCGATCCGGCGGTGGCGGCGGGGTGGCCAGGAGGAGGACTTTTCTCCTGGTTTCGGCGTCGCCCCGCTGTATTGACGTGCCCACCCGTGGCGGTGGTCGGCGGGTGGCGTCGGCCCGGGATCGCATTGCTCCGCTCGGCGGTGGCTCGGCGGGAGGTGGTTCCGGCCCATCCGACAGATCGCTGTCGGATGACCACCTCCCGAATAGCGCTTCCAGTTGCTCACGCTCGGCTTGCGTTGGCATGGCGACTATTAATCGATTGATCGCTCGATTTCCCGGTTCGCGGATTTTTATACCCATCGCGGGGGTGTGGCGCGGGTTGTTGTCGCGGCTAGTTGGGCGCCGTCGGGTGTTGTTTTGGACTTATATGTTCGCCGGTCGCGGTCGGTCAATGTGTTTTTACCCTGGGTTGTTCGCGGTTTTCGCGTGTATCGTGCGTCGCTATTAGCGATCGCCACCTTACCGTGCGGTGTTCGTATATATCGGCGGTTGTTAACGGCGGTCGCGATTTTGCCGGGGTTTGTATGCCGATCTCGATGGTACCGGCGTTTGTGTTTGGCCAGGGCCGGCGTCACGGTGGCGTTGTTTGCCCTCGTTTCGTCGGGGTTGTTCCTACCCTCGTCTCGGTCGTCCTCGGTCTGGTCCGGGTGCTCTTTTAACTCCTGGACGTGGACGTGGCGGTGCCAGCGTCCCCGTGAATCTCGAAGGTCCACGATTACCGGGGACACAATCCGCCGTACCTCTAAAAGCCCCACAAACTTCGGAGCTAATTTCGCGTTAAACGCGTTGGCCTTATTGGAGAGGGCGTGGTTCCTTCTCCAAACGAGCTCCCCAATTCGTGGCTGCCAGTTTCGTCGCCCTAGTTTGTAGTGGCGCTCCTGGTGTTGAAATGCTCGGGCCAGGTGAATTCGTACGGGCTTGTGCGCCTCCCTCAAATGTCGCTCTGTTGTTTCCGGTGCGGCGGCGGCTCTCTGGTGTTGCCGGTTTTCGGGGTGCGGCCGGGCTAGTTCTCTGCCATGGTTGAGGTAGGCAGGAGTGTACCCGGTCGTCTCATTCCAGGCGGTGTTGAAAGCGTACTGGAGGGCGGGTACGTGCTCGTCCCAGGCCTTCTGGTTTTTCCCTACGTACTGGACGATCATGGTCTTTATCGTACGATTCGCTCGTTCGACCGGGTTACATTGCGGCGTGTACGGCGGCGTGGTACGGTGTTGGATGCCAAAGGTTTGTAATACTTTGGCCAACTGCGACGATTTCAGTTGCGTCCCGTTATCGGTCAGCAATCTCTCGGGGCACCCGTGGCGGTAGATCACTTGATCGGTGAAGGCCTTAGTAACATTGGTCGCCGTGGCCTTTTGCAGTGGGGTGATCTCGATCCACTTCGTAAAGCGGTCTTGCATGGTCAAGAGCCATGTGTGTCCCCGGATTGAGCGGGGGAGAGGCCCGACCAGGTCGATAGCGACCTGCTGCCACGGGGCGGTGACGGGAGTCGCGCGAAGGTTCCCGGCCGGTCGAAGCTGTGACGCTTTGTGAGCCAGGCAGGTGGTGCACGAGCGTACGTACCGCGCGATGTCCCTAAACATCCCCGGCCAATAGTATTGCTGAGCGATGCGGGCTATCGTTTTGGCGGTGCCTAGGTGGCCGGACGTGGGAGCGTCATGGTAGCGCCGGAGCAAGGCGGATCGTTCTGGTGTGGAAACGCATCGCTTCCATTGCTCGCCCACGGCCATTTCCCGGAAGTCTAGGTCGTGCAGGATGTGTCTGTATAGGTGTCCGTCCTGGATTTGGTACTTGGGTCGGTCGGTCGGTCTGGCTCGTAGCCCTTGGCTGATCCGGTGGTACCACTTACATTGGGGTGTTGGCCGGGCGGCCGCGACCTCCGGTTGGCGCGAGAGCGCGTCGGCAACCAGGTTCTGGGAGCCGCGACGGTACTTAATCTCGAAGTCGTGCTGCTGCAGCTCGAACAGCCAGCGGGCAAGTCGGCCGGACGGGGCTTCCAGTCGCTGTAGCCACCGCAGGGACTGGTGATCGGTTAATACCGTAAAGCGGTATCCCTCGAGATAATCTCGCATCCGTCGTATCCCCCAGACTACTGCGAGGCACTCCAGCTCGGTGGCACTGTAGTTGCGCTCGGCGTGGTTCAGCGTCCTGCTCGCGTACGCGACAACTTGTTCCCCTTCGGGAAGCTGCTGCGTGAGCACGACTCCTAGCCCGTGCGTGCTGGCGTCGGTTTGCAGCGTGAAGGGCTACTCGAAGTCGGGGCACGCTAATACTGGCGCGGAAGTTAAGGCCGCCTTGAGGCGCCGGAAGGCCTGGTCCTCGGCCTCGGTCCACGCCCAGCGTGCGTTTTTGCGCGTGAGGCGGGTTAGCGGTGCGGTGACGGTGGAGAAGTCGGCTATAAATTGCCGGTACCACAAGGCGAGGCCGAGAAATTGGCGGATCTGCCGTAAGTTGGTGGGCGCGGGCCAGTTGGCGATACCGCTGATTTTAGTCGGGTCGGTGCGGATTCCCTGTCGGTCCACGATGTGCCCCAGGTAGCGGAGGCTATTTCGACAGAAGTGGCACTTCTCGACGTTGAGTCGGAGCTTGGCGGCTCGTAGTCGGCGGAAGACCTTGGTCAGATGCTTGAGATGGTCTTCGAAGGTCGGACTGGCTATAACAATGTTGTCCAGGTAGACCAAAACGTGGGGTTCAAGCTCGGGCCCCAAAACGGCATCTAATAGGCATTGGAACGTGGCGGGGGCCGAATGTAGACCGAACGGCATCGTTCGAAACTGCATGAGCCCTCTTCCCGGTACGGTGAAGGCGGTAGCAGGTCGGCTCTCTGGTGCCAACGGTACTTGCCAGTACCCGTGTTTGAGGTCTAGCGTCGTGAGATATTTCGCGCCCCGGAGCTTGTCCAGTGTTGCCGCGATGTGCGGCAGCGGGTACACATCTTTCCGCGTGACTTCGTTCAATTTCCGGAAGTCAATGCAAAACCGGTACGTACCGTCCTTCTTTTTGACGAGCACCACTGGGGAGCTACAGGTGCTTCGTGATGGTTCGATGACGCCGGCTTCCTCCATCTTTCGGACTTCTTGGTCTATCATGGAATCGAGCAGCGCCCATAGGTGTCGACCGAACAGGCGGATCTTTAGGTGCGGCCTGGGCGTAAACCTTATGTGGTTGGTCGGGACGGGTGGCGGTCGCTAGTTCCCCGGCCCGTGTGCCGTTTCCCGACGGCGGGTGGCAGTCTCGGGTGAGCACGCCGTCCTTGCCGCAGCGGGAGCAGAATTTGCGTGGTGGCCGCTTGCAGTCGAAGCGGGTGTGGCCTCGTTGTTTGCATTGCCAACAGCATTCTTCTCTGCTGTACGCGGCGGCCGTGATCGGTGAGCTGGGTACGCTCCGTATCGGCGGTTGTTCTTCCTTTTGCCGGCGGAGGACTTTTTCGTGCTCGGCTGCCAGGGTGCTAAACTCCTCCAGCTACGCTGGTGGCTTCTGCCGGCCGAATGTACAGCTGGTAGCTTGAGTGCAAGTTATTACAATATATAACAAGCGGGCCTTCTCTTGTGGTGTGTAGCCCCCATCGCGTCTCATCATCGTTAGCAGGTCCGTGGCGTATTGGTCGAAAGACTCCCCCAGTCTTTGTCGTCGCGCTTGGGCGTCTTGCCGTAGCTGATCGCGATAATCGGGCGGGAGATATTTCAATCAGAAGGCGGTACAGAAGGCGTCCCATGTCGCCCAATCCTCGTAACTGGTACCATAACAATGGGTTCCCGCGTAACATCTCGGGCAGCCCAAGGAGGAACAACTCGTCGGCGTAGCGGTAGGATCGCTTGAGTTCGTATAGTCGCTCGAGGAACGCGAAAGGGTTCTTGCCCTCGAAGCAAAGGCCCCATTTCCGGATTCGGTCTAAAATCGCGGTTGGGTCGGGTAGCGTCGGTTCGGCATGGTCCGGGGTCGGCTCGGCATGGTGTGGGTTCGGCTCGATATGGTCTGGGGTCGGCTCGGGCCGTACCGGCGTTGTTTCTCCCTTGTTCGGCATGTCGGCGTTGTTGTGTTCGGGAAACAGCCCTAGGTTTATCGTTACGAATTGACGCAGTCGATGTCGCAAAATGTCAATCGTTCCGGTACTGTCGAGACCGTGGAAGACTAGAATAGTCGCGAGCTGGGCTTTTGTAAGCAAGTATATCCAGAAGATTTTCATTGGGGTGCGCACGCAAGCTGGAGTCTCTACGGAGCAGGTCCCTGTTCGGGCGCCATGTAACGCGGTCACCTCGCTCGACGCTCGGATCGGCTCCCCGGGGTCCGGGTTCGAGAGGAAGGGAGATTCAAACTTGCGTAGACACAGTATAGGTAGAAAAGATAGTTTATTGGAAATCGAACTTTTTCTTTAAGTCAGTTTTGCTCAATATATTATGCTTATTTATTGTATAGGAAATATAAGAGTTACTTATTTAAAATAAAGACACATGAATTTTATTTTAAATTATTAATTATTTGTAATTTGATACATTTTCGAATGTTATAATTATTAATTATTATATTAATGTTTTGTTTATAATTTATAACATGTACGGAACACATAGAAAAAGAAAAGCAAGAGAGAGAGAACCGAACAGTCGTAGAAAGCGCGAGGACGATGCTACACGCCGCAAATCTTCCAAGGTATTTATAGGCTGAAGCTGTAGCAACAGCAGTATACATACTGAACCGGACAACATCAACTCAAACCAAAGGCACCACGCCATACGAGATGTGGACAAGAAACAAACCGTGCTTGACACATGTCAAGGTCTTTGGATCAACTGCATACGCGCACATACCCAAACAACAATGCACGAAGTGGGACCCGAGAGCAGAGAAGTTGATACTGGTTGGATATGAATCTGAGTCGACCAATTATCGCCTGTTCAACCCAGTAACCAAAAAGATAACTGTCGAGGAACGTGATCTTCAACGAGGGAGACGAAGAGATGAACTAGTTTCCTCCGGAACCACCACTATACTTTCCTATCGAGTATCTGTCATCCGAGGAGGAGGGAAACGAAGAAGCCGAAGCAATTCCTCAGGAAAATGATGAAGAAGAGGAAATTTTTCACGAGGTTGATGACATACAAGAAGCCAACCAAGATGTAAATCAACCAGAAGAAGAAATAAGACACCTTCAGAACAGAAATCTGATAAAGAGGCCTACTAGATATGAAGTAAATATAGCCGAATGCGCTGAGTCCTCTTCGTTTCGTAACGCGGTCACCTCGCTCGAC